TGTATATTTATGATGCTTTGATATAAACCATTAAATGTTTACAGTTACTTCAAGCTTGCAAAGCAGATCTGGCTCAGGGTACCAGTAACTAATTGGACCCCTGGTGGGCAGACCGTTCCAGAAATGAAAAGTAAAACCTTCTAATACAGAGATGCCCTAATTTGTACTTAAGGTCAATACAAAAGCTGTAAACAGTCTTCTGTTTATTTTTTTTATTTGATAAGTTCAGATTTGTCACAGAAGTGATCGTCTTTTTATCTAAAACCTGAGCACTAAAAATTAACCGGTCATTTTTGCGTCCTGAGGTTACTGCTGCTTGGCTTTATAAGAATGTGTCATTCAGAACTTTTACTTCAATAAGCAACAAATTAAAATGTATAAGGTTGTTTTTGTGACGTAAGCCTGTTGTTGAATATCAACGATGCATTCAGCAACACAAACATGAAGTCAGAATTTTCAGCATCCAGTTTAAAAAAAAAAAAAAAGACAATGCTAACAAAGAGCCCAATTTCTTGTACCGACCCTAATTAGCGTGCAGCACAATGGGTTGACTGTAGGCCGGTGATGTCCGCTGTCACCAGATCTCCATCCAGCAGAGCATTTAGAGATGAGTTGGAACAAGAGATTTGCATCGTGCAGCAAATGTGTGATGCCGTCATCTCAAATGTAGCACTTAGACAAATAAAGCAGCTCTGAACGTTAAAGGAGTCCAACCCATTAGGCATTAAGTGAGAGCAAAGTGTACCTAATAAAGTGGCTGTCTAGAATCACTTTCAATTCTTGAAGAACAAGCAAAATGGGGAATAAAAGAAGGATAAAAAGAGCCACTTTCCTTTGTTTAAAGCAGCAGTAGGTAACTTGTAATTTGTTTATATATGTGTGTGTGTGTGTGTGTGTGTGTGTGTGTGTGTGTGTGTGTGTGTGTGTGTGTGAAACGGTCACTTTGTTGTGACAGTTTAAAATGAGACAGAAAATCTTTGAAAAAAGATTTAAAAAAAGATAAAATAAAATAAAAAAAACATCTGCTGACATCTGATACAGATCTGATAACGGTTTAGCCGACGCGCCACGCGGCTGCATGATATTACAGAAACGTGATAATATCGATGACAGTCACCATGACGATCTGATTTGCCATAAATTCAGTTTGAGGTCTGGGTGTTTGCATACGGCTACTAGATTTTGTGGTTGAGAGGTCTGTCTCCAATATGCAAGTCATGGGCTAACTCTTAGTTGATGGCCTACCAATATTTTTCCAGGTCATCCATGCTTTCGATGCCGAGTGCCTTGACTTTTTCACGTTTTCTCTTTCATTTGATAAAGATTCTGGAGGGTGTTTGTTCATGTAGTTTGTAACTCCAAATTATTTTGCAGGAGGAGAATTTTCAGAGCGCACCTCAAAATTATTGAAAAGAAACTCAAATGCCAAGGTGCAACGTTAACTCAGATGCTACTGGCTGGTGTTTGCAAAGCAGCCAATCCAAGAAAGTCATTTATTTTCTTTTGCATTTGATTGACTGTAAGACCAAAAGCAGAAATAGGGACAACTGTAGCATGTTAGCCTATGCTAACTGCATGATCAGGTGTATTTAGAGTTTAAAATATTTAAACAGGCAGTTGTGAGGTTTTTTAGAGGAGGTCTTGAGTATTTATAGATTAAAGGAATATTGAGTAAATGACTTTACGTGCAATTAATTAGTATAGGTCATGTATCAGCATGTCGAAGGAGTGTCATTAAAACTGAGTGCTAAGGTGTAACCCTAAGATGTGATTCAGCCAAATGTTGCAAGATCTGAGACTTGAAGTTAGTTAAAATATAAAGTGCCTCTTTAATTTAATACATTACCTGAGCTGAAGAAGTCACCAGGAAATGTGATGGTTTCTAATAAATGAGACATTTTTAGAACCTCGACTCCAAACACGGTGCCAAGGTTCACAAGCCGATGTGAATGTCAAATTTTTTTATGACAGATTATATTAGAGTAAGCCATTAATGTGAAGCTCAGTAAAAATAAGTACTCAGCAATATCTGAACAATCTCCGATTTTCAACCTTGAGCCAGAGACAACTTCAGATTTTTAAATACACCAGTACCTCCACATTCTTTATCAAACAAAGAAATAACTTTAATTTGTTCAGTCGGTGCAATAAGTCGACTATCTTGGTCAAACTTTTTTTTTTAAATGCAACACACCTTCTTTCAAATTGTTCAAAAAGTCCAATAAGAAATTGTAAATATAATGTAAAATAAATAATAAAGCACGATGTCACTCAGAGCACAAAGCACAGAACTAGACTGAGTAGATCTGCCCTTATGGATCGGGTGCATTGTCACCGAAACCCCATGTAGAATTATTTCAACATCAGGGCCGATACAGATATTAATATCGGCGCATCTTTAGCTGTGACTTGAACTAACTCGTCACTCCTTGATTATTAATGACACACCAACATGGTTCCATTGAGTCTCAGAGCTTCTGCTGTGCTGCAGATCATCCTGACCGCCATCACTTCCTCCTCAGGCCGTCCTCCCATCTACTTCCTCCTGACCGGTCAAAGAGCTCTGTGTTCGGCCGGCTCCTGCAGATGCCCCCCCGAGAAAACCGCGTGGATGCGAGCCCGTTCAACAAAAAAACACATCCTTTCTCTGTCAGTCTACCAATCACAAAGTGAAATATGGAGGCTGACCTGACGGCGTGAGGAGGGAAACAGGCCGGAAGGTCGCAAACCTTCGCCACCGCGTCAGCCTGATCCCAGGTTTGACACAACAAAAACTTCATCTGGCGAATTTTAATGAGAATGAAAACCCGGGCTTACTGGAAAATATATTATTAGAATCTATTATCCGCATGTCCATCATGCAGTCATGTCACACATTAGACGATAGCAGCTCCTGTGAGCGGTCAGAACAATGATGGAGAAAAAACAATGTGTAAACTGATTAATGTCTTGCAAAAGGAGCCAAAGCTTTGGAACTTTTAGTCACATTACAAATGTGTATTTTATCAAGATCTAATCAGACAGACCAACAGAGGAAACCAAATAATACATGTCATTTCCTTTTTTGTCTTTAACATGTAAAATCTGAATTAGTATGGTGAGGTGCCCTTAAATATAACATTAAAAAAAAATACACCAATATGAACGTCCCGTATAAAGAGCTGTTTAGTCTGAACTAGTTTTTTATCCTGGTTAAATAAAAAAGATAAAAGGTAATTTTGATGTTACGGGTGGTAAGATATTATACATACCACGCATATTTCCCCACTGTCTCACCAGAAAAAAGCCTTCCTAAACTGTCAGAGCTGTAAAGGGATGGTTGAGATCAAAAGAAGTACTTGTTAGAATGGCTTAGTCAAAGTACTGAATCAAATCCAAATGACAATCTGTTGCAAGACTTGACAACTGATGCTTAAAGACAATGTCCCTTCAGTCCGACTTAAACCAAAACAGCCTCTAAATATTCAAAGTTGGTAGAGATTAGAGACTCACCGATCCGATACTAATATCTGTATTGATCCCGATATAAAAAAAAAAAAATCTAGACTGGGTATAAAGGCAGATCTGTTCAGCCTAGTTTCTATCCTTTGTGCTCTGCACAACATCAGACTTTATTATTTATTTTACATTATATTTGGAATTCCTAATTGCATTTTTGAACCAAAGAAGATTTGTTGGAGTTTATTTATTTCTTAAATGTTTGACCAACATAGTCAACTTATTGTTTTATCAGCTTCAGTTTCTTTATTATCTATTTTACTGTGGCTGTTCTAACTGCACTGACTGAACAAATTAAAGCTGGTTTTCCATGTTTGACCAGGCTTGTGAAGCTGTTGGTGTATTTCAGTGCACTGTACTGGTGCAGAGTTATCAAATACATTTGTAATTCAGTTTATTTATGTCTGTTTAAAAAAAAAACAGAAACATACTTAGTCAGTTCAGCTGTTTTTCCTGTATCAGATCGGTTTCAGCTGATACTAAACAAACAGATACCGGTATCAGAAGTGGATCAATGCATAACAGACATTCCTCTAAACACTTGCAGGTGTAATTTTGGTGAGACGTAGTTCCAAAGTGTTGACTCGGTTTTGTTTTGTTTTTTGTTTTGTTTTTTGTTTTTGGTAAAACATTCAGAAAGCCTGTTCCAGTTTTCTTCCGCCTGGACGACAGAGGTCAGGTAAAACAGAGACACAAATACGTCACATATTGACCTTCCACTCAGACCTATGAGGAGCAACCCGGCGGTTCTGATTCAGCTCAGATGAGAAGCGGGACATATCGATTACATGCGTACATGTTGCATTCCAGCGCCTCGGTGACACATGAGCCGCATCACCTTAGGCGGAGGGAGACAGACTCCTATGGAGCGGAAATGTTAGACATGAACGGTGAAGAACTCCCAAACATGATCCGCTCCTGCGCACGGCCCAGTGGCCTGCAACCTGAGCACAGGTGAGCCCGGGGGCGACCGTCATGTCAGAAAATCAGAGAGCAGCTCAGGGGTTATCTCCATGGAAACCAAAAGCCAGTTACCATTTAATATTGGGCTCCGATCGGAACTTGAGGAACTGACAGACTTCCCGGATGAGTGCAAACCTTAAACGAGGATCGTAAGTAGAGTTAAAGTAAACCGCTAGGAGGAGATTTGATGCACGTTGCCATGTCTGCTTCTCACCATGCTCAGCAAATCTCTAAGAATCTGGTCTGACTGCTTTGACATTCCAAACAGAAGAGAAAGTCAAGGCGATGATGGAAGATGAAATCACCTCTGACTCGCCTGAAACAAAGGTCATTTTATCGGAAATGTGCAATGAGATGCGCATCTCCCGCAAGAAGGCGCGTCACGAGTCAGAAAAGTGCCATGAGGGGCGGGGAAGGGGGGGGGGGGGCATCACCTTACCATCTTCCCTATAGTCACTTGTTGAAATATTTCACTTTACAACTGAACAGGCTTTCAAAATCGTATCACAAAACAATAAATGACTAAACATGCCGAGTACCTTAATGATGCTGCTGCGGCGCGGTGCTGCCTTCACGGACTCCAGCAGGATGGTGTCCGAGTCCGGGCCGCCGCCGCCGCCTCCTCCTCCTCCTCCTCCTCCTCCACCTCCGGGCAGGATGACACCGCTCCGCCGGCCGCGGGACACTCTCGGTGGGATGAAGTCCGGCGCCCCGTCGCCGTACAGCCCTTCTCCACATCCGTCACGCTCCGACATGTCGGCGGTCAGAGGGCTGGGTGACTGGGGGGAAAAGGGGGGAGAGGCTCAGTTCAGAACAAGCGGGCTCGGGGGCAGAAAGTGAAACAATTTTACGGGCTCGGAGAAAGTTTGGTGCCCTTGTTCGGGGATGCCATTTAAAAGAGGAGCGGCTCTGTCAGCCTGACGCACACTGCTCAACTCAATTTGACTATTTATGAGCAGGATTTCATAGTTCCAGAAGAGAACTCCACGCTGACTTTAGGCTGGTTGTGTTAGCGCGCTCCGCGGCGCTTCTACAGCCCCGAGCATCACAGGCAGGTTCAGGTTCAGGAAGGGGGACCGACCGGTGCGCTCCCCTGGAGACGCGCAACAAGTCCTCACCGTCTCCAGCCCCGCTCCTGGCTCCCGGCTCCCTGGAAGCAGTCAAGGCATCCAGACGTGCGTAAAGCCTCCTGGAAACCAGCAGCTGCTGCAGCGGAGGAAATCTCCCGATCCAACGGTGTCCACCAGGTTACCAGGGCTACCCGAAACCGAGCCGCTCCGTGCCCCGAACACGTCCTTTGGTGTCAAGAGTGCACGAGGGACCGGGCTCTCAGCGTGGCGCGGCGGATGGACCGACTCGCTCGTGCGTCGCCGCGGGTCTGTCCGCAGCCGCAGGATCCGTGTGATTTTCAGTCACAGCTACAAACAGCCGACTTTTGACGAGGACGAGAACACAACTGACAGGCGGTCGCGCCGCCTCTCGGGCGCCACTCCTCCTTCCACCCTGTCCGCGCGGCTCCGCCCACTCAGCGAGACTGACGCGCGAGGCAGCCAATGCGCGCAGGCGCGGGGAGATTACCGAGGAAGCGCGAGCCTGCGATAGGCGGAGGTCGGGTGTTCCCTGAGACCGAGGGAGCTTTCAGTATGAGGCGAGGTGTCAACAAACAGCTGTGATGATGATGATGATCAGACTGACTTCGGTTTTTGTTGTTTTTTTTTTTTTTTTTTTGTCTGGTGTTTGTTTGTTTTTTAGGTTTCATCAATTGAAAAGGAAACAATCGACGTCTGACTGATGGGTCTCATAGGGCGGCGTATTAGTAGTTAGGGAAAAAATTAGTACATCTCCTCCAAAAATCTAAATTTTCTAGAAAAATCTCAGACATTTTCAGATTGTTTTCATGTTTTATCTAGAAATTTTCTGAGAAGGTTCTATCAATTTTATAGATTTTCAGGACATTTCTTTCCACTTTTTGAACTCAAATATGATTTTTTTATGTGTAATGCAACTAGAAAATAAAGATTATTCCTCCTATTGTAAAGTAAAACTTTAACAATAACCTGGCTGTATAACTACGCACATCATTAAACCTATAAGCTTGGTTGAAAGCATGCTTTGACTTAATAACAGGTTCCTTCTTTTTCTTTTTTTTTCTTTTTTTTTGGTATGAGTCTATCACACTAGATCTACATACAAAACCTTCTCTATGTTGTCCAAATCTAACTTCCTGCTCACAGACCTGATTTGGGTGTATGCTTGGACTCACTGAAGCCATCTTCATCTTCATCTTCCTGATGTTTTTAGGTCAAAGCTGATTAACACGTCACAGTTTCAGCCATCTTGACCAAAAACTCCTGAAGAGACTTGAGCCCAGAGCATGATGCTGCCACCGTGTCAAAGCGATGCATGGAACATGGAAACATGAACTGTTCCCATGTTCATTTGAGTCGAATGAACATGGGAACAGTGGCGACCCCAGAAAATGTGCATAGGGGCGGCCAGGCCAGGTCAGTGAAAACTTTAGGTTGTAGGTTATGTTTATTTATGTTTACTTTGTATTTATTTATTGATCTGTCACGTTTTACACCTATATCTTCATTGAAGAAGATGACTCTGTATGCCTTTGTGTGATTTCCCGGTAGACGTGCCACTTTATCCAAAACGTCGGGTTCAGTTCTTCCAGAAACACCTGGTTTCTCTAGAGGTGTTGATACTTTTTATTCCTATCCTAACTGGCATAACGGGATAAAATGTATTTCCTAACAAACCGCCTGTTTATTCTGCCTGTTGACAGAATAAAACCTGACTGAAATAAAAAAAATAAATAAATGAAAAACCAGACTCCTCCTCGCTGCTCTTTCTGAGGCTGTTTCTGAGAATAGTGAGGCTCCACAGCGTTCAGGGACGGTCCAATCTGTGAATCTCAGATCCATTACTGTTGTTTAGTCTTCTGTCTGAGAAGTGAGACCCTGACCTCTCAGTCCTGTCCGGTGGGTGTGGGTTCAGGGCAGCAGGCGGCTGGTAACAGTCACTGCAGAGCTGCAATAAAGGCCCGATACATTATTCATCGAAGTGGCAGCAGAATCACCTTTTCTTTCCCCTGGTGGGGAGGTCAAAGGTCAAGGCGAGGGAGGAAGCAGCACCTGAGAACTGGCAGGGTTTTTTTAGTGTTTTGCTCATGGAGACGCCCAGCGGGGTGGACTGATGCTGACCTTCACGACCTGCAGGCTTCTTTTAGAGGGGTTTTTCTCTGTCTGCTGGGAGATGTGTGGAACTACCGTCTGCTGAATTAAAAGAAAATGTAAAATAACCCTGCAAGAAACACATGCAGTCACTACAACGGGTGTTCAGAAGTGTGCTGTTCCTGGGCATAATTTACCCTATTAGACATATTTTACTGGAAATAATTAATTTTTCCCCCTCAATAATCCAAAAGAGCAAAACAATTAGACAAAATTAAAGGGGCAGTATTATGTGTTTTCCATGGATATAGTCCCATTTTATAGCACAATCAAGTAACTATGTCTATATTCAGTTACTACAAAAAAGCTTTGTATATCAAACATGACTCAAAAGAAAACTTACTTTGATATTTAATGCCTTGAAATTGGGCCTCTGTCTCTTTAAAAACTCCTGCTCTTTCTGAAACTCCGCCTTCAGGAAGTCATCACAACATGGCTCCTCCATTAACCCTTTAACAACGTTTTACCAGCATTGCATTGAGAAGTAGCTCATATAATGAGCTCAGCAGATGTTCCACCTGATATTTGCTAATTGCTGCTGGCTAGTCTGAAGGAGCTGAGAGGTGCAGTCACAGACAGAGTTTCAGTAAGAGCAGGAGTTTTTAAAGAGACAGAGGCACAATTTCAAGGCATTTACCAAATTACCAAGTCAAATTTCTCTTAAGTCATATTTGATATATTTACAGCATTCTTACACCAACTGAAGATAAGATAATGACTTGATTGTGCTATAGAATGGCACTATGTGGCTGGAAAACACACAAAATATACATGGATCCTTATGAAAGTCTCTATAATTCATCTGCAGGGAAGTGTGAATATTTGTTAAGGATTATTATGCGGTTTTGCCCCACAGCTGCGATTGAGCCATAATCCTGAAAACACACATTTCTGTGTTGACGGAATAAATCCATTCATTCTGACAGGCGTCCATCCTTCTGACTGACTGGCTGACTGCTGACAGCGACGGAGAGCCATCAGACATCTTATCCTGGAGTTGAGGATCAAATCTAGGTGGAGGGAAAAACATTTTTATGTCCACTTAAAATATTAAAGTTTTATTGAGTAAATCTGAAATGAAAGTGCGGTGAATCCCAGCTGAACTGTGGTCAGCCTTCTGCCCCCCAGTTATTATTTGACGGAGTTACCAGCTGAGTAGAAATGAAAGTGTGTGTATTGGTTTTGTGTGTGTACGTGCGTGCGTGTGTGTGTGTGTGCGCCTCTGGACCTTGAGCCACACAGCTGTGGAATGTAGCCGGTTGGTGAGGCCTATTAGCACATGGGGCCCTCCAGTCACACAGACCTGATAGTTTGTGTTGAACCAGGCCACATTTTCACAGCGAAGGAATTCCTCATGTTTGTGCTTTAGTCCGTATCGCTGGAACAATAAAAAAATAAAAATCCAGCAGGGACTGGGAATATTGCTGTGCTGTGGTGACAGAAAATAGGTCGACAGATCAAATTCATTCCAAAGCATCCTCAGGTTAGACAATGAGGCCATACATTACATCGAAAAAAGTCATAAGACGGCTTTTTTTTTTTTTTTTTTAAGAAAGGAAACTATGTGCAAAAGGAAAATATGCAGCAGGAAGTTTGTGGGGTGAATACTGAACCTGCTATGTTACATGTGAAGAAGGTGGAGTGGTTTACTGTTCCACTTACTGTACAACATCAGGTTTGGTTCGGTCACCAAAATATGTAGTTGTTCGCTCGCTGATCATGAGTAGTCACCGAATTAACGTGAAACTGACAAAAGTAGTAATAAATCAACTTTTCCTGAAAATTAACCATTGAAAATCACACATTCCTTTTGAATTCTCTTTTCCGCATAATTATAAAGAAACAAGCTAATGGCAGGCCTGGACAGCCATGATGATTCCTGTCACTGGACATTTTGTTGCTCAACCTGTTGAGTCGATTTCTGTAAGTTTCAGTGAGACTCCTGCCCCGGTCCTGGTTTTCTGGGTTACTCCTCATGGACAAACTGTATTTGAAACACTGGGACATTTTTTTAAGCTTTCCTGAATATGAAAAACTGGAGAACTGAGAATTTTCAGATGCTTGGTTTAAGACAAAGCATCTGAAAATGCTTTGTCTTAATATTTACATTTCAGGCTTACAAAGTTAGTTATGACTAATCATGATTAATCAAAGGACCAGAGTGCGATTAATACGATTTTTTTTTCCAGTCGGTTGATTGAGTCTTCACAACTTTGAAATAATTTGTCTTGCAGCATTTTGTGGAATTTAGGTAGAAACAAAATGGTGGCAGACAAGATATGAAATATCTGAATAAACTACAACTGGTGAGCTAATAGCTGCTAACGATTAATCGTGACTAATCACAGCGCTAGCATGTGATTAATCTGATTTATTTTTTCGATAGATTAATCAAGCCTTCTCCACTGAAAACACATGGCAGCATTTTGTGGAATTTGGGTAAAAACAAAATGCCACAAAATAGTGGCAGACAAGATATAAAATATTTGATCGAACCACAACTGGCTAACCGTTAGCTGCTAATGAGGATGAAGCTGGCATCTGTTTCCTGCCTGCTAAAAGGCTATTTCACAGTTTGTGACAATGTGGACAAACATATGATCATGACCATGTGCAAATATGAATTACTTAGCTGGTCAACAACAAACTCAAAAACCCAAATGTGACATGAATAAAACATTTTTTTGCTTGTGAAAATCAGACAGAGGATTACCTGACATCATGAGCACAGAGTGAAACCTGGACTGGATCATTTCACAGTGACTACAGAACATGGCCTGGGAGGCATCACTCTTTTTGTGAACACAAGTAAATGAGTTCTTTCTCTCTTTCTTTCTCTCTTTCTTGCTAACTCAGTCACACATCACCTTATCTGATGATTTTAATAAAGTGTGAGCATGGGCCTCAATCTTAGTTAATCCTTAATCTTAAAAGCCTCAGAGCAACACCGGGGAGTCGGGACAATCAAGTTGGGAGACTCTTAAATAAACCCGTCATATAAAACATAAAACAGAAGCAGAGGGTTAAGATTGTGCATGAAGAAAAAAAAATACAACGCTTAATTTCACGCCTTTTTCACCTTCCATTGTCTTTCATTTATTAGGTATCCAATATTAAGAAAGACGCTGGGCACCTAATGGCTTTTACTTCCTCATTCTGATGCTAATGAAGTTCAACCTCTGCATTAGCTCCTGCCAAGAGTTAATTTGATTTACATTTATTTAGCAGAAGAGGAGAAACACAAGAACAAACTCTCAGCAGCTTCCCAG